CTAATGCGTTTTTAGAAGTTTTATAACAAACTTGGATTCGTGATAGTTTACATCAAACTTGGATTTGTGGTTTCAAATCAGTTTCTTTTGAAGGGGATTGCAAATCAACATTATTCATGGCATAAGAAAGGATACTTCACTAGCAAATTTGCTTCAAGATGTATACTATTGGGCTTCTAAATTTTCCGATATATGACTTTCTGTTTGTAAAAAGTACTTGTAACAAAGTGGCTAGTTCTTTAGCAAAATTTAGTTGTAGTGATTCTATTTACTACTCTGAACTCTGAAGCTGTAAATCCGCCAACATGACTTGAAAAACAATTGTGTATCAATTTTACGAATTCAATATAAAACATTTTTGACGAAAAAAAAGGAAAAGTGGTACTATATGACAATACGAAACATCAGTTCTAACTGGTAATATTGTAACAATATAGAAAACTTATATAAGAAGATTTCATGGTTTGGTTCGCAGCCGAAAACCAAAAATATCGATCCGATCAGTTCGGTTTGTTCGGTTTTCACCTAATGCCAAAGGCTATGGGCTAGGTACATTTTCTCAGAAATTTCTATTTTATGAATAAACAAGTGTGGTTGACCAATTTGGAGGCGTCTGTGAGTGTAAAAAGAAGTAGAGAATTAATATCTATATATATGGGAAGAGCATCTATAAAACAAAACCAAACTTCTTATCATTCACGAATCTACTCTTCTCTCAATTTTTTGTTTAGTAATTTCTCTACTATGGATTCTTCCCCCGTTGCACCAGGTACGTTCAGGCTAATTGGTACCTGATGAGTTAAGCCAAATTAGTTTGTATAATAGGAAATTAATATATGTTGTTCATTTCTTCAGTTCGTGAGCAGGATGACTACCCCAACCTGAAACCGGTATATAATCAATCATATACTTATTAGGTGTTAGGATCCAGCGACTATTGGCTGGTTTTTAGAAAGATCTGAGAGGAAAGTCTAATTTCTTGATTATTTTCCTTCATCAGATTTGGACCAGCAATATCAAAGGGACAAAAGACAAACAAGACAAAAGTTAAATCAAGCACGAAATGGTCAAAAAGGGGAAAAAAAAGATACCAAACATCGAAAAGTGAGGAAGAAGAAAGATGATGCATGTTTTATCTTATCTAATTATTGTGGATTAAATAATTTGAATTTGGTTGCCAAAAAATTAAAAAAATTTGAATTGACGTCGGATGAATCTTTTTCTTCCTCTTATCTTTTTCTTCATTTTCAACTTATTTTATGTAACTTCTGTACAAGTATTTATTCAAAATGCTATTGAAAATAAAAATATGGTTCTTTTTTGAGTTTTCTGCAAAAACGTCCTCAAACTCGTCAATTTTTGCAACATTACCGTCTATTTCTAAAAAATACAGTTTGATCACATGAAGTCAAAAATACGAACTATAACTCTTATACGTATATTGTAAACGTTTTCACGGTCACGTACAGTAGAGTTTTAAAATTGTAAAGGTAGAACTGAACTCCTCGTCGCGAGGGTTTCGATTTGATATATTATATGTCAAATTTTATAAACTTGATGGTAAAGAAAGAGGGTTACGTTATATATTAGTTTTGATTCCGTATGATTAATTTGTATTTTTTAGAAATAGAGGGTAAAGTTGCAAAAATAGACGATTTAGAATTTTTTGCATAAAACCCTTCTTTTTCCATCGGTTCTCCAATTTTTTTTGTGTTGCTCTTATAGTTTGAAAATTCTTTTTATGGCGGTTTACTTTTTAATACATGGTCTTCCTTTCTCTATATTCTATTCCCCCAAAACTTTTTACAAATTTTCTATCAAAAAGAAATTATACTCTATTAACTTAATTATAAAAGTAGACCATGTATTATTTATAATTAATTAGAAGAATAGAGACTTTGACACTTTGTGTAATACACATATCTGTGTCATTGAAGCGTGAGTGGATTGTGGAAATGACAAATGAGGGTTCCTTGTTTATTTTGGCTTATGTTTTTTTTTTTTTTTTGAATATAATGTTAAATTATATTCAAAAGAAAAATAACATTTGTACAACAAAGTCCATCGTGAGTTTGAAAATGATTTAAAAGATTTAGACTGAAAAGAAACTTAGAGAAAACTTAATCTTAAGCCCGAGCAATGAGCCATTGTTGGTACGCCTCATCGTACCGCCTATCTCCCACTTTCCGGATTATCGAAATCTGATTTCGTATTTGCTTGTCTATCCATGCTGTGATGAGATCTCCCGAGTGCGGTTGTTCCCCATGCTTGCGACCATTTCTCTCTTTCCAAATCATGTAGACAGAAGTTTGAAAGACATACCGAGAGAGGAAACTCTCCACACGATTTTGATGATAGTTGGAAATGTGGTCAATAAGCTGGAACCAGTCCGTTTAGTAATTAGCTTTGAGTACACCTTTCGCAAAGCTATTTTTCATTTCTCATTTTGATTTTAAAGTTTAGACACAAATAAATTCTTCGATATTAATAATAAATTTGTAAAATGTTTAAAGAAAGAAATAAAGAAACTATAAAGCTATAACAATCGCAAGACAAATTTTCAAAAATTCAAGATCATATGTTTTGAGGCGGTGTACATATTACGGCTGCTTCTGCCGCCTCGAAAATGTTGCACTGAATATGTTTTACATACAAACACTCAATTTTGTAAATTAGTACACCCAATTATCCTCAACATTGTTGTATACCATTTTTAAAATTTTTCCTATACACCTAATTTTTGTATATCTAATTTTGTAAACCACACCAATTTATACACCTAAATTTGTAAACACACTAATTCTTGTACACCATTTCTCATATTTTTCTTGTATATTTAAGTTTTTGTATACTAATTATTATACACCTATATTTGTAAACCACACTAATTCTTGTACACTTAAATTTGTAAACCTCACTAATTCTTGTATGCCATTTTTTTAAGAAGTGTTAGAAGCAGGGTATAAACGATAGTTTACATGTGGTGTACGACTATATGGTATACAACGGTTATCTACAGATGGTGTATGAATGATAGTGTACAAAATAAAAAATTTACAATATAATTTTTGTGCAGAATAGTTTTAGATTAACCAATTTTAGAGAGCTTTAGGAAAATATCACATTCTGATGATTATACTCTTCTTTTATATTGCTTTAAAAAACTTAGATCTTTTGTGGTTAAGTATTCGATCTTAAGACTCTCATGGAGAAGTTGGTAAGAACATATAATTAAACAACATATTTTATAAATAAAATAATCCAATCAATCATCACCACTATTCACTATCATGCCATTAAACTAGATTTTCAATCAATTAATTTAGCAAACGAGATTGATTGAGAAGATTTAAAATATTTCATCATTTTTTAAAATATTAATCGAATTAGATTATTAATGAATGCTAAAGTAAAATTAAACATCATATGTTAAAAAAAAATTTCATCATAACTTAATTCTAAATTCTTATTTTTTTGGAAATTAAACCAACGGTACACCAATTTTTAAAGATTTATTAATAATTTTAGAATCCTAAGTAATTCCAAACAAGCATTATATCCTAATAAAATCATGAAAAGTTTTATGAAAAAATAACGTATCTTTTAATCGAAGAAATCTTCCTAAATAAAGTTTTCTTAATATGTGTGAAATAAACTTAACGACATGTAATTCGAAATAGAAGAAATAATACTTATAATTATTCATAACAATGAGCAATTAGCGTACAAAGTAGAAATAGCATTGGTAAAGTTCTCTAGCTTTTTTTTTTCTTTTGGATCAAAGTTAATTTCACTAGCTACTTTATTTCACTAGCTACTTAATACGAAGTTGCCTTTGTTGACTAACTTTTAATTAATTTAAACAAAAAGAAAGATTTTGGTCTAAAATTTCCGTCGCACATAAAACTAAGCGAAGATGGCTTCCAATTCCATTAGTGACATATATTATAAAGAATTTAGATGATACAAAAGTTAATATTAAAAATTGATAGTATAGCAATATCTTATATGTGAAGCGGACACTAAAGGCGTTTATAAAGGTTTTAAATCAGTTTTTTTAAAGGATTGCAAAACTCTCATCAACATTGTTCATCACAAGAAATGCTGTTTTACTAACAAATTTGCTTCAAAACATAGGGAGTGATTGGTTTTGATTTTGAAAGCTTTTGTTTTTACAAGAATTTTAAATTTTTTGGGCTTCTAAATTTTCCGATATCCGGTTTCTATTTGTAAAAAGAACTTGTAACTAAGCGACTCATTCTTTAGTAAAATTCCGCCAACATGGTTTGAAAAACAATTGTCTTTTGATTTCACGAATTCAATATAAAGTTGTTTTGACGAAAAAAATGAAATGGTATTATATGACGATAGGAACATGAGTTCTAACTGGTAATATTGCAACAATATAGAAAACTAAGTATACTAAAAATAAAAATCAATAATTAAAAAAAATATTTACTTGAATAAAAAGAAAAACTACTATCCAAAATTTTTTTAAATAAAAATAAATGGTATTAAATTATTATTTTTAAAATTAACATTATTAATTTAGTTTTAAGAAAATTTGATATCATCAATCTATGTAATACCAATGGTATATCAAATTAAAAGATAATCAAAGAATTTTAGAAACAAAGATAACATTCAATTAGGAAATCAAAATAACTCATATTTTTGAATAACAATGCTAAAATAAAAGTATTTTTAATTTTACAAAAAACCGTGTAAAACACTTTAAATTGCGTACGATTTGAAAAAATAGCAAACTGATCACTATGTGAAATTAAAAGCCAACGTTGGAGTGTAAAACGCTAATATCCAAACTAATCACTATGTGCTATGTTAAATTAAAGTGTTTTACACGGTTTTTAATGCAGGGAATAATACGATTGAAAACTCTAGTATCAATGGATCAAGAGTTGTCTATCGTTGCTCGGATTTCTTGCTAGCTTTCGTATCAATGGATCGAAAGAGAGAAGAACTCAAAGACTTCGGTTGAGAAAAGCTTTCTCTGCTTATTAATCAAAAACTACCATCGTTCTCCTTACAACCCAAGGAGTATATATAAGTTTCTAAAACACCAAAACCCTAGACGGAACTTGTCGAGCAAGCTACAACTAAACCGTCTTTATGATAAAACCCAAAATATAAGTAAAAGCCCAATGATAAAAGTAAAGAAACTAAAACAGAGTAAAAGAATGATGTCTCGCTACATCAGGTCGCCGGGGGTGAAAAAGAATTCGACCTCGAATTGGCAGCACTCTCATCGGCCAAGTAAGGCACCAAATGTTTAACGTTGAAGACATCGGAAATGTTCATATGAGGTGGTAGCTGCAGGCGATAAGCATTGTTATTAATCTTCTCAAGAATCTCCAATGGACCGATCTTCCGAGCTTTGAGCTTGTTATATGTGCCTGGTTTGAAACGATCCTTCGTCAAAACAGCCCAAACCAAATCTCCAACCTGAAAAGAAACTTCACGACGATGATTGTCAGCATCCAACTTGTACTTCGAAGTAGCAGCTTCCAAATTAGTCTGCACTTGTTGATGAATTGAAGCAAACTCTTCCACGAGGTCACAAGCACGACCATGGAAACGGCTCCGATCAGGATTAAGACCAAGATCAGATGGACTACGAGGAAGAAGACCATACACCACTTGAAACGGAGAGAACCCAGTACTGCGATTAACGGCTCTATTATGAGCATATTCAGCTTGACAAAGTACACGATCCCATGATTTAATGTTATCTCCCACTAAACAACGCAACAAATCTCCCAATGCTCGATTTGTGACTTCCGTTTGACCATCGGTTTGAGGGTGATAAGCGGAGCTCATATCCAATTTTGTGCGGAGAAGGCGCCACAAAGACCTCCAAAAGTGACTTAGAAAACGTGAATCGCGGTCCGATACAATAGAACACGGCAAACCATGAAGCTTATAAATCTCTTGGAAAAATAAACTCGCAACTTGAAGTGCATCTGTGGTCTTTTTGCAAGGAATAAAACGAACCATTTTGGAGAAACGATCGACAACCACAAAGATGGAATCATTACCACGCTGTGTTCGCGGAAGGCCAAGAACGAAATCCATACTAATGTCAGTCCAAGGTTGAGTTGGAATTGGAAGAGGTAAATACAAACCCGCGTTCGTCGCTTTTCCTTTCGAAGCTTGACAGATTCCACAACGAACAATAAAACGCTCCACATCACGCCGTAGTTGCGGCCAAAAGTAAGACATACTAACCAGTTTAAGCGTACGATCACGTCCAATGTGTCCTTCACCATGGAGCTCACGAATCAATTGGAGGCGTAAGCTACAATCAGGAATACATAAACGAGCATCACGAAACATGAAGCCATCCATGATAAGATATTCGGAGTCAACACCTTGCTGCAGGTCGCTCCAAATCTTCCCAAAGAAAGAATCAGTGGCATAAAGATCCGGTAAAACCTCAAAACCTGTGACCTTAACATGAAGCGTGTTTAACAAAGTACGTCGTCTACTCAAAGCGTCAGCCACCTTATTTAAAGTCCCCGCCTTATGCTTAATTACGAATGTAAACTGTTGTAAATAAGCAAACCAAGACGCATGTCTCGCAGAAACTTTGTCTTGTGAACCCATATGTTTAAGTGCATCATGGTCCGTGAACAACACAAATTCTCGCTGAAATAAATAGTGACGCCAATGCTTAATAGCTTGTACGACGGCGTAAAGCTCAACGTCATAAGTACTATAACGAGCACGCGAACCCGCTATCTTCTCGCTAAAAAATGCAACTGGCCGATTAGATTGACTGAGAACTGCACCTATGCCTGTCTTGGACGCGTCGCAATGCAACTCAAAAGCCATGTCGAAATTAGGCAGAACAAGAACCGGAGCCGACGTGAGTAAAGCTTTTATGGTCTGAAATGCTTCTTCGGCTTCCATGGTCCATTGAAAGTGCGTTGCCTTCATACAGTCGGTAACAGGAGCCATGATACTACTAAAATTAGCCACAAACCGTCGATAAAAAGACGCTAAGCCATGAAAACTCCGGACATCAGTCACTGTCGTTGGAGTAGGCCAAGATTTAATTGCTGAAACTTTTGTTGGATCCACTTCTAATCCACGAGTAGAGATGATGTAACCCAAAAAAAGAACTTGGGCTACGCCGAAAACACACTTCTTAGTGGCAGCAAATAACTTTTCCCTTCGCAAAACCAACAACACTTCACGCAAATGCACCAAATGTTCTGCAAGAGTTGAACTAAAAATGAGTATATCATCGAAATAAACCACCACAAAACGTCCAATAAAAGGACGCAACGCTTGATTCATAACACGCATAAACGTGCTAGGAGCATTGGATAATCCAAAAGGCATCACAAGCCATTCAAACAAGCCTTCTCGCGTTTTGAAAGCAGTCTTCCATTCGTCTCCAGGGCGAATTCGAATTTGGTGATAACCACTCTTGAGATCAAGCTTAGTGAAAATCGAGGCTGAACCAATTTGATCCAAAAGATCATCTAACCGAGGAATTGGAAACCGATATCGAATGGTGATCTTGTTAATTGCTCGGCTGTCTACACACATACGCCAAGAACCATCCTTTTTTGGAATAAGCAATGCCGGAACGGCACACGGGCTAAGGCTTTCACGCAAGTACCCTTTAGCAAGAAGTTCCTCGACCTGTTTGCGAAGCTCATCATGTTCCTTAGGACTCATACGATAATGAGGTCGATTTGGTAACACCGCGTTGGGAGCGAGATCGATGCAATGCTGGATATCGCGTAAAGGCGGTAAACCGTCAGGTAAATCCGAAGGAAACACATCCTGGAACTCCGATAATACTTCAGTGAATTCCGGTGGAGCACTTGGGACCACAGTTAGTACCTGCGGCTTTAGTACCAAGAAAAAAACAACATCCGTGGATTGAAATTCTGTTAAAAGTTCTGACTTGGATACTAACAAAGCCGGCTTGACAGTGTCTGTAGCAAGCGGAGAAGTTTCCACATCTGTACTTGTGACAATTGCGTCTGATGCGGTTTGAGATGGAATCAAGGTAATGCGTTTGCCCTCATATGTAAAACTGTGAGTGTTGGCGAAACCATCGTGTACAGTGCGTCTATCATACTGCCAAGGACGACCTAACAGGAGGTGACATGCATCCATTGGTACGACATCACAACAAATCAAATCTTTGTAGTTAAGACCCAAAGAAAACGGAACTCGACAGCGTCTTGAAATTTTAATATCAGTGTTGGAAGTCAACCATGCAATCTTATAAGGTGTTGGGTGTGGTTCTGTGAACAATGCAAGCTTGGTCACAGCTTCTTGGGAAATAGCATTCGTACAACTCCCCGAATCGATGACAAGGCGGCACACTTTTCCACGAATCGTACAAGATGACTGAAATATGTTGGATCGTAACCATGATTCTTCTATTCCACGAGGAAGGAGATAATTCCGCCGTAGAACCAACAAAGGACCAACGTCTCCCACCACACGCTCAGTTGAGTCATCTTCCACACCATCATCATCACCATAATTATCAAAAACCGGTTCATCGTTAGCTAGAAGACCACGTCGTTGGAGAAGTGGGCAAGCGGATTGCCGATGACCTTGCTCTCCACACTTAAAACACTTATAAGTTGGAGTTCTCTGCGGGCCTTGCAACAAATTTCCCTCTGTAGACTCTGTCAACTTCAATTGCTCTATTGATTTTGAAATCCCTGACTCCGTAGTCGCCGTGACACGAGAGCGCTGAGAATTCCACGCAGTTTGTTGGCTCTTTGAATTTTGCTCTATCAAGAGGGCACGCTGATGTGCTTCTGACACTGTGAGGGGATTAAATTGCAGCAGCGTATTTTGGATTTGGATTCGCAGACCGCCAATGAAACGTGAAATCCTCTGTTCTTCGTTTTCAGTCAAAGAATTACGAGCCATCAAAGAAAAAAATTCTGTGGCATATTCATCAACAGTTTTAGTGCCCTGTCGCAAATTTTGAAGCTTTGTGTACATGGTGCGAGTGTGATTGAATGGTAAAAAGGCTTTGCGCATCAATCGTTTCATCTTTTCCCATGAATTCACACGCTCCTTTCCTGCAGTGGCACGTGATTCCTTTGTCTGTTGCCACCACGCAGATGCTCGTCCTCGGAACCTTGTCGCCACAAGAGAAACTCGCATAGCATCTGGTACTTCTTTAAAATCCAATAATTCCTCTGTTATGTGAAGCCAATCAAGGAACTCCTCAGCTTGTAACCCGCCAGTAAATTCTGGTAAATCCAGTTTAAAACCCGACTCCCAACGATTCAAATTTGCTCTGGGAACTTGAATCATGACCTGTTGCCGTCCCTCTTCTTGCTGGCGCTGCTCGCCCAAACCCGCAAACGGGTTGTTATCATCAACATCATCTTCTTCGTCATCACCATTAAAGACATGAGCTTGTCTTTGCAAATTTGGAGCTCTCTGTTGCGCTTGAAAGATAGATCGGACAGTAGACTCAACGGTGGTACGAATCGTATCGCGCCAGGTCTGCTGCATCTCAGCCATCATCTCTCTAAACGTGTCGTTCTGCTCGTCCAATTGCTGTTGCAAGTTCTTCTTCGGTGGCATGATGAGGATCGGTTTGTCTCTGATACCAACTAATGCAGGGAATAATACGATTGAAAACTCTAGTATCAATGGATCAAGAGTTGTCTATCGTTGCTCGGATTTCTTGCTAGCTTTCGTATCAATGGATCGAAAGAGAGAAGAACTCAAAGACTTCGGTTGAGAAAAGCTTTCTCTGCTTATTAATCAAAAACTACCATCGTTCTCCTTACAACCCAAGGAGTATATATAAGTTTCTAAAACACCAAAACCCTAGACGGAACTTGTCGAGCAAGCTACAACTAAACCGTCTTTATGATAAAACCCAAAATATAAGTAAAAGCCCAATGATAAAAGTAAAGAAACTAAAACAGAGTAAAAGAATGATGTCTCGCTACATCAGTTTTTGTAGTGAAACACTCCAAATTGTACTAATCAAATATGGAGCATTACAAAAACAGGAACTATATATATTGTAGTGAAATTACACTATGTGAAATAAACGAGATGGAAAAATAAGAAAAAAATCTTCTTACTCCTCGCGAACTCCTCCAATAATAAATAGAAAGCATGTGAGTTTGTTAGTGTGGACAACACCTTTAGCAATTCGTAACAGTTGCAAATGCTACTGTCGTCCTATGTTGATCAATCGAAATATGAATAGCTTAAATGAATGCCATCTAATTCGGAATATAGTGGAGAGAGGCTTCTTAGTATAATTCGAGCTTCAAAAGAATCATATAGTGGGCTAGTCGGATCACTGTGTGGTCTGGACACTGGGTTATCAAAAAAAAAAAAGAATCATATTTTCAAAGGAAAACCATCTCAAACATGCAAATAAATCTGTCTTTTTCCAAGAGACATCAATTAATTAACAATGACACCCAGTTCCCCGATAAATAAATAGCGTATTGTTAGTCCAATATATGGCATTTGGCTTGTGTCCTATCCCATGCATATATTGGCCTCTAATTTAGTTTTTTTTTTTTTTTTATAGAATTTCTTGAAGATCTCTATCCACATTTTTAAGACTTTGTCAAATCTTTCTTTCCAAGTTGACCATATGATTGATGGGAAAATATTATTGTGGATATCTAAATCGATGGAGGGCATTCGAAGACAACTTGATTAATTGTAAGTAATACATTTTCTCCTTAGATTAAGTTAACTCTCATGTTTTTTATTCCCTTTTTTTTTATTTATTTTTTGGCAAGGTAGTAAGGTAAAGGTCTAATTTTTTGTATAGACTAAACATTTCATTCCATATGATATTTACAAGTTTATCAACAAAAAAAATAAAAGTTAACCAAGACACACTCTGACAGAACTTGCCATATAAAATATTTGAGTTTTGGAGGGCACTTCTGATTCTAAATAGATGCTTTTGATGGTGATATCATGACCAAAGATATCATATATAAAACTTTAATCATTACTAACCAATTTCTATTTTAGACGATAAAGTTTTGCGAATTCATATTAGAAATAAAATACACTATAATATTTTCAAAACTATCATTAATTTTGTAAAAAAATTCCAGCAAAATATATAAAAATAAACACATAGTTCATAACCTAATTCACTTAAAAAATAATTTAGTGAACCGATTGACAACGCACGCTTCTGTTTTCTTATGTAAGTATAATAATAATATAACTAGCGCACTCTCCTGTGTATTTTGTTTTTCTAATCCCAAATTGTCATTTTCTAATCTCAAATTCTCTCTTTGTTTTAAGATCCACATCCTTCTCAATTGTAAGTGACTTAAATCCTCCTTCTATAGCCTCATGTACATCCGTATCACAGTAAGCTTTGTTTCCTTAATTTTGAGTCTTTAATCTTTTTATATATAGTTTGTTACTGTATAAACTTGGGATTCTTTGGATGATTTTTGATGCTAAAAATATAAAGCTCATAAGCAATCGAAGATGGGATCTCAAGAACCATGCATCTACAGAGTGCCAAGCCAATTGCGTGAAGTGAATCCAGAAGCCTATAGACCTCGGATGCTTCTCATCGGCCCTCTTACTCATTCCGCGAAACCTAAAGCTCATACGGATTCAAGGTACGCTGACATAGCCTGCATGACCTGTGTAGCGTTTTATCATTTTGATTCATAAGAAAGAAGTAAAGAACAATGCCAACCAGAAAAAAAAAAAAAAAAAAAAAAAAAAAAAGAGAACTAGAAAATCCTCTAGTCCTAAATACGTGGGTTAAGTTTTAACTGCAGTAGTGAGCATTTCCGTTACCATCGTTAACACGGAGGTACGAATCTACCAAAATTTGAAAAATAAAGAATTTAAATGACAACAACAATTAATCAATGTAGTTTTATTCCAATTTTAAAACTACAGATATTAAACGGCCAAATAAAAAATAGATAACGGTTTTTTTCGGGTTTTTTCTCTTTTTTCCCCTTACTTTTGTGGCCTTTTTCTATACCAAGACATTGCAGAAATTGATAGTTAGTTTATTTTTTCCTACTTCATATCTTTTGTTTAATGATTAATTACTTATACAATCCAGATAATAATGTTTTTTTTTTTTTGGTGAACAAATCGAGATATTAATGTGTAGATGCTTGATTAGGTATCTAGAATATAAGATGATGGAGGACCAAAAGGTGTTGTACAAAGACGCTTTCACCAAAAGGCTAGATACTGATAATGCAATTCTTGAGGATATGAAGACCACCATAAAAGAGGAAGAAGTAAATATTCGAGCAAGTTATGCGGTATCGACTACATGGATATTATCTGATATATTCGTGGAGCTTATACTTAACGATTCAATATTTATCGTGGAGTTCATTCTCAGAATGTACGAAAGTCATGAAAAAATTGGTGACATGATTGTGGACAAACCTTTTTACACTTCCACGGTTCTTGATGATCTTACCTTGCTCGAGAATCAGCTTCCCTACTTCTGTTTAAGTAAGTTGTTAAACCCCATTACAAAAAGATTTTGTGGAGATCAAACGCTGGACCAAGTCATCCTCCAATTATTTTCAGTCAATGATAGTGGTATGATCAATGAGAATACAAAGTTCAATCACTTCACAGATTTATTCCGGTGTGTTTACAAGGAATCGCTTGGCCAAAATATAGAGTTGAAAGACTCAAACAGCCAGATCGTGGATATGAAGAACGCGGATAAGTTATCTAGTGTAGGAGTGGAATTTAAGGTAGTGAAGCGTGAGTTTTCGCTGAATGTATCATTCGAGGAAGGTTTCTTAATATTGCCGAGTTTTCCTGCCGATGAATCTTCTAATATCATCCTTAGAAATGTCATTGCATATGAGCAATGCCATGATCCTGAAAATGCATTCACTACAAATTACATACATTTCATGAATTTCCTTATTACCTCAGATGAAGACGTGACGTTACTCACTTCAGCAGGTACAAACATCATAACAACATTACACTTTGTTGGTGAAATTATACTATGCGAATGATGAATATGTTGCTGGAATATAGGGGTGCTAACAAACGGTGTAGGGCGGTCAAGCATGGTGCTAAAGATGGTGAATAACTTAGCTATAGGAGTGTTGCTATCAAATCAAAGTCAATATCACGACATTGTCGAGAAACTCAACATTCACCATAATTCTCGTAGGAAAAGGATATGGGCGAAACTCAGAAAAGTCTACTTCAGCGACCTGTGGACGACAACAGCTACGTTAGCTGCCATATCTCTTTTGCTACTGACTCTAGCTGGGACAGTGGCTTCTATTATTCAAGCTATCAAGAGTTAACGCTGTTTGCATGCTTCGATCTCATAAAGATTGTTTCAACTCTTGCTTTTGGCTTTTCCAAATCTCTTGGCGATGATTTACTTTTTTCAATAAATAAGAAACGTCTTGGTGTGTTTGTTAGTGTTTCATTTTGGTTATTCTGATTTATGGTTCGTCTACAAAAACACTTAGTACAAGAAAATAACTAGCTCGCTCTATGACAGAACAACGATGGATTTTAACTTCTAACGTAACGTCCATTATGTAGGAATTAAGTCATTGAAAATTTTCGACAAATTTCAAAAACCGGTAAAACCTTCGATTTTTCAGACGGAAACATGTAGAAAAAACATCGGCATTCAACTCTTAAAATGTGAAGGTTGACCAAGTGTCATTAGCTCAACTAGTAAAGATCCTAGGCAAAGCTTAAAAGTCGCCGGTTCGAGTGACGTTTGAGACGAAAATAATATTACATGTTGTGGTTTTGGACCTGAAAAGATTACGGGCTTTGGCCCCGAACCTCCTGGTATTAAAAAAAAAATGTGAAGGTTGAAGGTTAGGCTCAAAACTTAAATACACTATTGGAAATTCATAACAAATACTCAAATAGAGTTTATCACAATGAGCCGATGATGAACAAACTAGAATATTGGCCTTCTAGACTTTTAGTAATGTTTTTATTTCTTTCATCCCTCAGTCTTTGAATGAAAAATGACGATTTTTTTGGCAAGGTTAACACTTCAGTTTGTTGACTATGCTTTTCCCACTTGCTTTACTAAATAGTTAGTCACTCATAAATTATATTCTATGGAAAAAAAAAAACACAAGTGCGGTTGCTTTTGTGATCACTGATCAGCACACCAACCACAAGGCGTCCCGAGCCAACAAAATGAATCATTATTTTAGTTATCTCTCTTTATATGAGAAAGAACATCTAAAAACAAAACCAAGCTCCTTATCATTTACGAATCTCTTGCTTTCTTGTTTAGTTATTTCCATCTATGGATTCTTCAACCACTAATAATGCAGGCGAAGAAGGTACGTTCGGTCTAATTGGTATTTGAGATTCATGTAATTAACTAAGTAGTACCTAGCTAGCTTGTATGAAACTAATATATATTGTTTATTTATGCAGGTCGTCATCTTTCGCAGTCCGGGTTAAAAGGGGTATATAATCATATACTTAAGCTAAATAAACGCTTTATGATTTAGTGACTAGCGGTATGGATTTTTGGAAATCTCTTGTCTAATTTCTTCTTGATTATTTTCCTTCATCAGCTTCAGAAAAGCAATTTAAAAGGGACAAAACCAGTGACAGGAGAGAAAAATACGATAGATAAACCAACGAACGCAAATGGAACAACGCAGGGAGAGAAGAAAAAGAAAGGAAATAACAGGATCTGAAAGTTAGAGATGAGGATCGGCTGTAATATTTTTTTTTTTTTTGAATAAAATGTAAAATTCATTAGAAAAAGACAATTTTACATCTAGTGCAGCATTTGTGTTAAAATGATTATAAGACAATGCTCACAAAAACAAAAGCCAAAGATATGACCTCGTTCTTATCGTGATGCAAACCAAAGCGCCATACACCCGTCATACCTATGATCGGATGTACTATTTTGCTTTAAGTTTATTCGGTCAAGCTGTTTGTATTTCTTATTTTCTTAAATTGTGAATTGTTTGCTTGAAAACAAAATGTTTCTGTGTAAATTGTAATGTTTACGATTGTTTGTTTTGAGGCCATCCACAACGTTAAATCTATCTTATTATATAAAGTTTGGTTTTCAAAGTTAGTCATTAACGATTCCGATATGGTTCGAATCTATTAATCATAATTTTCTTAACTAACATCATGATTCAATTAAAGTTTGTTTCTTATTTATTTTAATTTCTTTTTCCAATAAGAATTATGTGATATTTTAAATTCAATTTTTCTATTTTAAATGAATTTCCCTTTTTAGTTACGAATATGTGAGATCAATATATGCTTCTTCGTCGATCTCGGACTCTTGTTTGGAGATCATGTATCAACAACTGCCTTCCAAATCCTTCGAGCTGTTGTTAAGCTCCGACTTCTTTGTCGGGTTCCACGGGGGGTTGAATTCGTTCTTCCTCGACCTGGCGGTCTTCCGAATCTATCCAGGAAGGTTTACTACTGCGCCTACGGAAATTTACTTCAAAGGTTGCGGTTTGTTTTTTTCTTTTTTGAATCTCTATCAACCTCAATGTTTCACTAATGCTTAGAAACTCCAGGAGTCCAGGTTATCCATAAGTTTCTCTTTCTAATGTTGAAAACTTTGATCGCTGGATCTAGTGACTATCAAACAAGTAACATTTGGATCCAACGACAGTCAAATGAACAACATTTTAGTCTACAAATATGATCGATTGTGAGTATGTTTTTAACCCTTTCGAGTCCAAACACGTAAACATATATTAGAAAATAACCAAACACTCTTGTTCTATAATATAAAAGATATGATTGGTAACACATACGGAATTTAAAAAAAAAAAACAGATCGGTAACACATAACGATACAAGTTTTCTAACGGATAAAGAAAGCGGTAAGCGATACAAAAATAGTTAAAAAAAATACAAAATAGCAGTACGAAAAAGGATGTTCTCGACAGGGAAGTAGAGTGTAACAGGATAAACCGGTAACTGGTTTAGTTTTCTAATTTCCGGTTCACGTATCTTCTTTGGTCATTTGTTTAGACCACCAAACCATCGTGACTCTATATGTAAAGGGTTTTAGCCATTTTCTGATAATCAATAAAAAAAACACAAATTATCTTCTTCAATCTCCTTTACTTCTTTCGATCATCATCATCTTCCATTTACACCAAATCTAAGATCTTCGAGGTGATCCTTCACCTTCTGGGCTTTGATTTGCCCTTATCTCGTGCTCTCGGTGAGTACTGATTCGGGATTTATCATACTGTTACATTGGTATCAGAGCATTTCCTTCTCCGGACCCAGAATCATGAAATCGAGCACACACAAGCTCTGTCCTCTGAAGTATTCATGTGAGGAGGTGTATGAGAGAATGGAAAATGGCTTGTGTATATTTTGTGAAGAACAAGATTCTCCTGCTCACCAACAGTTGAAGCACAAGAGATTACGGATTGTCATGACGGAACGTGAAGATAATCTAGCTTCTGACGATATAGAAGAAGTTCATCAAATCCGGAAAACTGTGAAGAATCCTGACCCGTTCGTGGAAACTGTGAAAAATTCGGATCCCTTAATCGAGCCGTTGGAGTGTGCCTCAGTTTCACATGTTCTAGATTCCGCTTCTGATGTGTTGCTGGTTCATAAAAGGGATTCACAAATCATAGAAAGGGAAGAGTTGCCTCAACAATTAACAAGTGGTAATGGTAAAATGGTTGCACACCAAGTGTTTGATCAAATTCCCCTAAGAATGACAAGTAAGGAAAAGCAGAGGAAGTATCTTAAGGCCTGGAAATTTAAGTTCAAAACCACTTCAAAAATAAGCAAATCGATAGATGATCGATCTAAGCTAGTAGATGAGAATGGATCAAGGCTGGAAATGTTGAATCAGATGGAAACGTTTCTTTACCATCAGAAATCGAGAAGTTTAATAATCTGTACTTATCTCCATACATTATCTCGAGCTAACCATGTCTGGAAGCCAAGTGGATTATTGTGTCTACAAGATCATAGTGGTGGTAGCGTTCTGAAGATAACGCAGCAGTTTCATGGATTGCGTTTGCAAAGAATCATTTATATGGATATGAAATTCCGAGAAGTGTTAGTAGCTGATATGTTGAGTGTAATGGTCTGCTTGAGTGTTCATAGCAGGAAGTTTGAAGCAGACTTGGATATCTATATCTCATACCATTGCCCGAAAAATTCAGAGATGGTCATTCCACGGGTAAAAGAAACTCAAGATTGGATAGTGAAAGCATGGTTTCTGATTCAGGTATTTTCTGATTTTGATATCGCATCATGGATTAAAGAAAATATATGGCTGCATTTAAAGATTGAATTGATGCTCATTTATGGATCTCTTCCAAGACCGCCAGAATCTAACGGTGTATGTGTGTGGATTTTAAACTTAATATCTAGAATTGTTGGTGGTGGAACATTCTATGTTGGTAATGTTGTGGTATGGAGAACTTTGAAAGGAAGCTTTGTCCCTAGAGTGGAGGAAATTTGTTTAGAAAGCATCAAACAGGATCTGGAGTTTGCCATTGATAGAAGAGTAGAGTTTTCACACTCAAAGAAGGTAAGCAAGGAGTCTTTTCCCGTACAAGCTATGCATTGTATAAATCTAATGAATGAAGCTGCATATTCTCATGATGAGAAGATCTTTTATGCTTGGACTTCTGGATTATGTCAAGCTAAAAGATATCATGAAGTGATTAGAGTGTTGGAGAAACTGAAACAGTCAAAGTTCCCTTCTGATTTATTGGACTACAGGGTACTTGCTGGTTTGTTTTGCGAATCAAAGCTGGAGGAGAATAGCGACATCAAAAGGAATGTCTTTTTTGGTAGAAATGTGGTTAAATGGAAGTACTGGTTTGTGTTTTCACAAATGCTTCAAGCTATCAAGAATACTGATTACGTGACTAAGAACACTTCGTTTCTAGAAGACAATAAAAGTTCGGATCTTCATGGAGAACTCAAGCTAAGGATTTCTCTTGGTCATCTGATGAAGAAATACCGCAGCTTGTTAGAACAGTTGTGTTACATGCGTAGTGAAAGAAAGAGAGCTGCTCATGTGGACCGTTTGGTTAAGGAGTTTAGGGTACTTTTAAGCTATGCTAAAGATTGGAGGAAGCTGCAGCAGTGGTCGTACCACAAGACCTGGGAATTCAAGCACATACTTAAATTTCTGTCTTGAGCTCCGCTACAGAATGAACAACATAAACTCATGGCAGGAAGGAACATTAAGTGTAAAATGAGAATTGAGTTAGATATAGAGGCTCATAGGGTCATATGGGTGAAAGAACAAAAGATTGCAGGTGGTTTGATTACATATCTAGAATGGCAGGCTATGTATGAGTTGTCTCTGTTGTTGGGAGTGTTACAAGTTGTCAGGAATCGCAAGAATATTGCTTGTTTGATTAATACCGCTGCTCTAGATATCAAAGGAGAATCTGATCTACATGGAAGAATCAAAGAAGAGAAGTCTATGACTTCTTTCATAAAGAAACAACGTAGCCTGTGGGGTCATCTGATTGGGTTAGTGAATGGATCTGGGAAAATGTGTGATGATTATAAAGGGATCATCAAGCAAACCGTTGATGACAAGTACTACAATCCTTTACTTAAGGACTTACTAGATGAGATCAGTACCAAGGAAGTTTTTCTTATCTTCTTCAAAGAATTTAGGCACTCTATCTTCCATGCAGGCCAAGCTAAGGAACCTAAAGCATACTTTTATAAGAGGATGGCTAAACATCAGTTACATCACAACGTCTCTGTCCTTAAAGCCCTTGTTCTATGGAAATGGTACCCTCCGGAACACGCTACTGTGAAGTTTTCTCAAGCTTTCATTGGCAGTTTTGCAATCTTTCATCCTTGAGGACAAGGATGTTCTCGACAGAGAAGTAGAGTGTAACAGGATAAACCGGTAACTGGTTTAGTTTTCTAATTTCCGGTTCACGTATCTTCTTTGGTCATTTGTTTAGACCACCAAACCATCGTGACTCTATATGTAAAGGGTTTTAGCCATTTTCTGATAATCAATAAAAAAAACACAAATTATCTTCTTCAATCTCCTTTACTTCTTTCGATCATCATCATCTTCCATTTACACCAAATCTAAGATCTTCGAGGTGATCCTTCACCTTCTGGGCTTTGATTTGCCCTTATCTCGTGCTCTCGGTGAGTACTGATTCGGGATTTATCATACCGTTACAGAATCATTCATCTCCTTTGGTGTTATTTTACGATTTTCAGTCTTAGGGTTTATCTTCTTACGGCAAACTTTTGTCACAAGATAAGTTAAGAGGCCATTGGGCCATTATGTAAAACAAGCCCATGTAGAAATGGATTTCGTAGTGTTAGAACTTAGAAACATTAATTTAGGTTAGTAGGGTAATAATGGTAGTATATAAATATGTAATGAATCAATGTATGAGAGATTAATGAGAAAATGGTCTAAGTAGCTAAACTTAGAAAATCCAACAACTTATAGAATTTTCTATATTTATATTTAGTTAAAAATATTATTTCTTTTAATAAATGCTTTTTATTTATTATTATTAATAGATTTTTCTAAAGAACATAAAGTTCGAGCCAAGTATAAAATTCACAGTTACAAAATAGAAAATAAATTAGGGGTTTAGGAGTATTAAACGGGATCTAATCCTCGCAGCGAATGGTTGCAGAAATTCTGACGAAGGTCATCAGACTAAGCTCATTGAATGGAGTATTCAATTCTACACTCCGATTTATTACCGTAAAATGGCTAATCGTCCGTAATATATCAGCTTACGACTGAGAAGGTTGAACTACGAGAGCTTTTTCCACTCCGAATACCTGAATACTCCATTCAATAGTTGATTTATTAAAAATTTGCATGGAAAATGTAAAACGATATTTATTGTAAAACAAAATTTAGATTTTTTTTTTTTTTGTGGGCAAAGACAAAATTTAGATTATAAACGACAATTAGAGGAGTACATATTTGGTATAAATATGAATTTATCCTTTAATACAAGAAAATAAAATATTTAAAGACATAAAAATTAAAAAGAAAAGGAATCATAAACATCATGTATTAATTATAAATCATAACATGAATAAAATCCCCTGGAACTGAAAAAAGAAATTCACGCCGGAAAAAGAAAGAAAAAAAAAAACCTTCGCCGTCGTTTGCTAGTCTTCGTCGCTCTATCTCAAAACTCGATCAAACAATCCCAGTAAGCTTCTTCGATTCTCCTCTCAACACCATTACTGATTCCAAGGTACGATCCCCTTCTATTGTAGAATCTTAAACCTAGACCTTTTCAGGATTTAATCGGAATTAGTCAGGTTCTAAATCGTTGCTTCGAAGTTGATTCCGGTGATGTATAACCCTAATTTTGGTCGTGAATTTGCTAATTAATTGATTTTCCGATGATTGTTCTGTTTGCCTATGAATAAGTTTGATTTGAATGGAACAAAAAAAAAGTTTGATTTGAATGTTTCTAGAGTCACCTGCATTGATTTTGTAGATTGGTGTGAATGTGTGTCATCGTTATCTTTTTTTCTTATGTTTTTTCACAGTTGATAAGGACTTTGAAGCTTTTGTTTTGATGGAAAGCAAAGGAAGAATCCATCCATCTCATCATCATATGAGGCGTCCTCTTCCAGGTCCCGGTGGTGGTATTGCGCATCCCGAGACTTTTGGTAGTCACGGTGCTATACCGCCTTCTGCTGCTCAGGGTGCGTTTCCTTCTTACAACATGTTGCCTCCACCTGAAGTTATGGAGCAAAAATTCGTGGCACAACACGGGGAATTGCAGAGACTTGCTATAGAGAATCAGAGACTTGGTGCAACTCATGGTAGTTTAAGACACGAGCTAGTTGCAGCGCAGCATGAATTGCAGATGTTGCACGCGCAAATTGGGTCGATGAAGTCTGAGAGAGAGCAACGGATGATGGGTCTTGCTGAGAAAGTTGCGAAAATGGAGACTGAGCTTCAGAAGTCTGAGGCTGTTAAGTTGGAGATGCAACAAGCACGTGCTGAGGCACGTAGTCTTGTTGTGGCGAGAGAGGAGCTTATGTCTAAAGTGCATCAGTTGACTCAGGAACTTCAGAAAGCTCGTTCAGATGTACAGCAAATACCTGCTCTGATGTCCGAACTTGAGAATTTAAGACAGGAATACCAGCAGTGCAGGTATATGTTCTAATTCTCTTATATTTATAGTGACTTCTGAGTTAATATGGTTGGAAGTAGAATTTGAAATCTGATGTTTAGGATTATAGGTATGGAACTTTCTGATTTCACAGATTCCCGACCCTCCTTTTTAGCTATTGAGTTAGTCAGCTTTTGTATCATCCTCTTACGAAGGTTGGATGAATTTTATTTCATTTGATTCTGCAGGGCAACATATGACTATGAGAAGAAATTTTATAACGACCATCTCGAGTCACTTCAGGCAATGGAGAAGAACTACATGACTATGGCTAGGGAAGTTGAAAAACTTCAAGCACAGTTAATGAACAGTGCAAATTCAGACAGAAGAGCTGGTATTAAGCTATTCATCTAGTTTCTGTTCCATTTAGCGTCTTTCGTCGATAAACTTTTTCAGTATTTTAAGAGTTGTATCTGTCAATCAAATGAAGGTGTCCCTTATGGTAGCAACATGAATGCTGAAATTGACGCTTCTGGGCATCAGAGTGGAAATGGTTACTATGAAGATGCTTTTGGTCCCCAGGTTCGTTAATTTCTCTTTGCAAACCTTTTTCTATCTGGCCTAACAAACGTGCACTCACTTTCTGAGACCCACTATTGTTTTCCTTATTTATTGACCATCATGAAAAGTACAATCTATACACTTTGGCACAGTATAAATAGAAAGGATGAGGATGAGCTATAGACTTTACTCACTTTTGACTTGCTTAGAATAAGATCTAAATGTGCTTGAGCTTATTTATGTTTTGTTACTTTTGCAGGGATATATTCCTCAATCAGTTGCTGGTAACGCAACTGGACCAAATTCAGTTGTTGGCGCAGCTCAATACCCTTATCCAGGAGTAACTCAGCCAGGATACTTCCCTCCAAGACCCGGTTACAACTTCCCAAGAGGCCCTCCTGGTTCATATGACCCAACAACAAGGTTACCCACAGGACCTTACGGCGCTCCATTCCCACCTGGACCATCCAACAATACTCCTTACGGGTCAGCTGCAACAGCCGGTGCACGCGGAAACCCTAGTCGCAGATGAGGCAACCAGCTAAGAGTACATAATATAAACTCACCGGCTACATATTCCTTCAACTGTGGAAGTGTTACCTGTTTGGTCCCATAATCTTATGGGTAAAGAGAAGTTGGTACAGTGGTGAACGTTGAGTGCTATTGTTTATCTGATTTTGTTGGGAGATCGACTTATATCTGTTATGAGAAGGTTTTCAACAAGTTTTGTGATACGAGAGATGTAAAATCGGGAAAGAAAAAACAAAGGGGGAAAATTTATTGTTTGCCCTTCACCATTTTGTCTCTATGTTTCACTCGGTTAAAAATTGTGCTATAAATAAATCAAAAGTTGAATTTACCTTTGTAGTAGTTTCTAATTTTCTTTACTTTTGAAGGGCCTCTTTTCATTTTGCCAGAAGATTGCATAATTTACTATAAACACGTGGTCAGAAAACTATAAATAATTGAATTTTTTCATATTTGCTTTTAACAAATTGCTTGATAATGTAAAATTGCGTGAGATCGCTTAACATGCTATTTAAAAATCACATGAAAAACTAACTTTGTTTTTTTTTAAGAAATAAGCGTAATGAATTAATAATATTTTGTTATTGTTTTGAATAACAGATCACATCAAATACCTAAACTAGGATAAATCAATTAAAAATACATCATATTTTTAACTGGTAACAAAATTTTACTAATAATATCACGGATATACATTTCTAAACATGGCGATCATTGTTTATAAGAAGTTTGGTGATGTTCGAGACTAGTTTAGTGAGACTTAGAATGAGTTGAATCACCACTTTTGTTAAGAATCAGTCGTCAAATCACTTTGAACTCGTTTCATTTATTCGATAATAAACATGAAAACCTCAGTTGTAAATATATGGTAAACAATGTTCCCGCCAATTGTGCAACTCCGAGAGAGTCAATGTTGGTATGGTTCACAATCATTTTTCTTATCCATCAGAGTCACAATCATATATGGTTTGAAGTGGTAATTCTCAGTTATAGACTACCACAACATCATAACTCCAACAACTAAAATATATTTTAACTGCATGGCTTAATAGAAGTTGTAAAAAGTAATCATTGCAAACACATATATCTAAACATAAATATATAATTCGAAGAAACATATTTATACATCTCAATAGAAAATTTAATATATTTTAAATTAGCGTTTCCTACATTTTAGCAACTCCGCCAGAAGCTCTTCTATACATATATACAATAGAAAAGTTATATCGTAGATCTATTGTGATTGGAAGACTTTGGCATTTTTACTGTGTTCAAGAAGTCTACTAAAAATTAACATAACAAATCTGTTATAATTTCTGATATATAATTTTTTAACATATGTTTTTATAAAATTTCTTTGATATATAAACAAACCGTTATACATGTATTTTATTGTTTTTTGACGGAAAATTATACGTAAATCTAACTGTGGTTTTATTTTTTTATTTTTTTTATTTTTTTTTCGACATCTAACTGTGGTTTTATGAAAAATAAATATTATATATAAAAGTATATGTAACATTTCTTTTATATAAAGGTGGACAGAATACGATTTTTTTTTTTTAACACCGTCCGAGTACAAATTTTTCCTTCCAAAAATTTGATATTTTTAAATTCCCGCCAGATTCCCATCTAATTTTCGCTTCTCCTTTAGCCATTTGCTTCCATTTGTTACTGACCTGAGAAAGAACGGGAAGAGAGATTGAGGCACACAAAGTGATAATCGCAGCAAATTCGTACCAATTAGACCAGGTAATTCTGCTCTGATTAAGAAATTGCAATTTCTAGGGTTTCGCTGTTCGATTTCTGTAAAAAGGTTTTTGCTTTCTCAATTCAATTCAATTGCTGTAACTTTGTTTAATTAGCTCGATTTTAAGTTTAGGGTTTACCGATTCTGACCAATTTAATACGAAAGATTTAAGCTTTTCCCAATATTGAATCCTCTCGGCGATATTGGGGTTTTAATCGCACAATTTGATTTAGAAGAAATCTTTGCATCCCCAATTTACGTTTTCATGTGGCTATGATATTTGTAGGTATGGAAAATGTGGTTGCAACTGTGAGTGGTTATCATGGGTCTGATAGGTTCAAGCTCATCAAGCTTATTTCTCATTCTGGAGCAAGTTATGTTGGGGCAATGTCAAAATCTATTACACATTTGGTTAGTGTAGTTTGTTCTGTTTTGTTTATGTGATTCACTACTGTGGAGAAATGAAGTCGTACCCTTTTGTTTTGTAGGTTTGTTGGAAATTCGAGGGTAAAAAGTATGATCTTGCAAAGAAGTTTAATACAGTAGTAGTGAATCATCAATGGGTGGAAGAATGCGTAAGGGAAGGGAGACGAGTTTCCGAGACGCCTTATATGTTTGAAAGGTTTGCTTAGTTATTGTTGATCATTCTTCCTATTTGAATGGTGTAGGATAGCTTCTTGGATTTCTTAATGGTAGGCGATAAAGCTTAAGAGTCTTCTATGTTCCTAAAAGATGATTGATAAAGCTTTAATTTTTCAGTGGAGAAGAGGTTGGACCTTTGACGATTGAACTTCCCGCAGTTTCTGGGGAAGCTAAAGTCACTAAGAAAGTGAATAAGGCTGCTGAAACTTTTGAGAAATACTTTAGTAAAGGTGAAGAAAACCGGAGTGGCTCCACTTCTGAGCTTGCGACTTGGATGGACTCTGTCTTGTTGAAAGAGGTAATCCTTGTTCTCTTATTACCTATTTTCTTAGATACAATCTGAATCTGGAAAGCCTACAGCTTTTTAATTCTGTTTCAACTATTAGTTTAGTTTTTATGGAGTTAAAGAAATAGTACAAACCTCTTGTGTTGTTTAGTTATATATTGCCTGAATATCAGAATCGTCTTATCATTCTGCATAGTTTCTGTATGATTTTAAAGACTGATGTGGTAATAGCACAACTTCATCAGGTTTAGTTTGTATATCGTGATGTAGCTACCAAGATTAGCTATAGGTGATCACGGTGATCACGGTGGACATTTGAATCAGCACAAATAAAAATGCTTACTTGCATCACTGTTTTGTGTATGGTATAGTAAGTTATGTTTTTTTTTTTTTGTCTCTGAACTCCTTTGTTGCTCTTCAGAAAAATATAGAAGCAAACAGACACTCAGTGAGATTAAGAACAAAGAGGCCGAGTAATATTTTTGAAGACAAGGAAAACACTGGCGTGGCAGAATCCTCGCGGAAGGGAAAGAGGCAGTTAGTAAAGCAACGCTCTTGCAGAAACCTTATTGACCTAGAATCTGATGAGGAATCTGATAATAACCGTCATGAAAACTCTGATGAGAACCGAAATGAGACTCAGGACCATAGAGAGCCTGCTGATGAAAATGAGAGGGGTTGTGTTTTCGAACAAGGAGAAACATCAGCTCTTCGACATCCTGGAGACTCTGCAACACAAAACTGGGATGTAGATGAAATAGAGGAGTCTGAGAATTGGAGTCATTCAGCTGTTTTTAAACGTCCAAGATCAATTAGTCCAGAGATAAAACCGCAAGATGTTGGCTCAAACTACAACAAATCCGAATCAATAAGAGTAGAAACAGAAGCAACTGAGAAGGCTCCTGCACAGGTTTCTTGTATCATATGCTGGACCGAATTTAGTTCCAGTAGAGGCATTCTCCCTTGCGGCCACAGGTTTTGTTATTCATGCATCCAAAAATGGGCAGACCGTTTGGTGAGTCTATCTTCGCCTTTCAAACAACACTCCTAAAATCCGGATATTGTAATGATGCAACTACCATATTATATCTGCAGGTTTCCGAAAGAAAGAAAACAACATGTCCATTGTGCAAGTCCAATTTCATCACCATCACAAAGATAGAAGATGCTGATTCTTCCGATCAAAAGATATATTCACAAACCGTCCCTGACTTATCTTCAACAAATAACACTCTTGTAGTACTCCCTGAAGAAGAACAAAGACAAACTTTTAATCCACTGGTAAGCCGAGGGTCTTGAGTTAATATGCGATCTTGTTCTTGATTGCAACAACATTCTTATTGTGTTTTGTTTTTTTTTTCCTGCAGACTCGAGCTTCAGGTTGCAGCAGATGCTACTTGACTGAGCCAGAGGAGCTTCTCATAAGATGTCATCTCTGCAATTTACGGCGAATCCACTCGTATTGTTTAGACCCTTACCTGCTTCCTTGGACCTGCAACCATTGCAATGATCTTCAGATGATGTACCAGCGTCGTCACTACTAAATAAATATATGGCAATAATGTTTGATATTTGAAATGATGAACATTAACAATATCTCCCATTGTTTATGGTCTTTAAACTCGTTATGAGATTATCCTCTTTCCGTTAAATAGAAATAAACTGAAGAAAAAAAAAATGTTCTTCAAACACAAAAAAACGAGGAGATGTTCACAAAAAAAATTTATAAGCATTTTCACATCAATCCAAGTTCTGCATATTATTTGCTTTTAACATAGACTGAATAATTTTTTTTTTTTTTTTTGGATTTTGTAGAAATTTTTTTAAAAATAAAAGCAAATTTCAAGATTCACAAAATTTGGGGACCTATTCCTACAAATAAAATAAAATTTGGGGGCCTTTTTCTTATACAAAAAATTCAAAAAAAAAATAGGGGCCCTAAACCTAACTTCATCCCACTCAACCCAGGGCCGACCCTGCCTAAAACCGACCGAATACCCACATATATACAATTATACATGTATAAGAACCGTCGGGTATATTGACATTTGGCAATAGCCGAAACCAAACCAAACCGAACCAGATATTTCGGATCGATTCCAGTTTAGATTTTCGGTTTCCGTTTTTATGCCCAAACCTTAAAAAAAAAAAAACTAAAGTAGTGAGTCAAGTGTAACCAAACTACACCAAACCAAATCAAAATTTATTTATAATTAGTTTAAATGAAATGAACATTGAATTAATATATATTTAATAAATTTCTTTTTTTTTGTTAGAAATTAATATAACATTTAATTATACCGGTCGAATCATATCAAACCAAAACTAAATTAAAACTAAAAAAGTTTGGTGTCAAATTAAATGAAAATTTCCAAAATCCAACGGAATCGAACTGGCAAACCAAAAGTCAGTTTTAAACAATAAATACCAGAAAAGCAAATTTCCTAGAAAAATAAATTAAAAAAGCTCTCTATCAGTAAGATGCCGTTGATTTTCACATCCCGCCATGACCCCACCACCAAATATTATTCATTATTTATTTTAGTGAAAAAAACAGAAGAAAAAAAAAAAAAACCCTCAAGTCGTCGTCTCTCTCATTTTCTTCTTCTAATAACCAGATCGCCTCCTCCAAATCTTCTTCTTACTCCTGGCAGATCCACCGTCGTCTTCCCTTTTCTTCATCCCGGATAACCAAAATCGGTATACAGATCTTTTATTTCGCTTCATTGATCCTTTTTTCTTCAATTTCTAATCATCTCTCTTAATATCTATTGCTTGATTCATATCTTTTGCTGCAAAATTCGATATGATTCCTGATTCTCTAGCTTTGATTCTGGTGATTTGTTCGATGTTTTCACTTATAGTAACGGTTATTTTCGCATATGCCAAGAGATATTTGTGGTGGTTTTGCGATGTAATGTTGGATCTATGCTTTGTTTAATGTAGTTGGATCAAAATGTTATTGAATTATCTCAGGAATTGTGTTAGATTCGTCACTATAACGATTTGATGTTTAATCTCTTTACTTTGTATCTACCAGTGTAGCTCTTGAATTATGGACTATCTTCCTGTGGAAGTTATTGGAAACATACTATCACGTCTCGGAGGAGCTCGTGATGTTGTGATAGCTTCTGCAACATGTAGAAAATGGCGAGAAGCTTGTCGCAAACATCTTCAGACACTTTCTTTCAATTCCGCTGATTGGCCGTTTTATCGGGATCTCACAACGAATCGTTTAGAGATCCTTATAACTCAAACCATTTTCCAAATCACGGGACTGCAAGGTCTTTCTATTATGATGGATGATGCGAATAAGTTTTCGGCTGCCACGGTTATTGCTTGGCTTATGTATACAAGGGACACTTTGCGGCGATTGTCTTATAATGTTCGTACTACTCCTAATGTTAACATTCTTGAAATCTGTGGGAGGCAGAAGCTTGAAGCTTTGGTTTTGGCTCATAATTCTATTACTGGAGTTGAACCAAGTTTTCAGAGATTCCCTTGTTTGAAGTCTCTTTCGTTGAGTTATGTTAGCATTTCAGCTTTGGATTTGAATCTTTTGCTTAGTGCTTGTCCGATGATTGAGAGTTTGGAACTTGTGAGTTTGGAGATTGCAATGTCGGATGCACAAGTGACGATTGAACTGAGCAGCCCGACGCTGAAGAGTGTTTATTTCGATGGGATTAGTTTGGATAAGTTCATCTTGGAGGCTGATAGTATCGAGTTCTTGCACATGAAAGACTGTGTTCTCGAGCTCTTTGAGCTTATAGGAAACGGGACTTTGAAGCATTTTAAGCTCGATGATGTCAGTGTTATACATCTTGATATCATGGAGACATCTGAAAGCCTTGAAGTAGTTGATGTCAATCACTTCACAATGGTTTGGCCAAAGTTCTACCAGATGATCTCAAGATCACAGAAACTAAAGAAACTCCGTCTATGGGATGTGGTCTTTGATGATGACGATGAAATCATCGATGTTGAGTCCATTGCTGCTGGTTTCTCTCACCTGACCCATCTTTCGTTAAGCTACGATCTTAAAGATGGAGCTGCTCATTACAGTTTGCAAGGGACCACTCAGTTGGAGAACGTGACTGTATTGGAGCTCGGATGGACCGTGATCAATGATGTTTTCTCAATCTGGGTCGAGGAGTTGCTGAGAAGATGTCCGAATCTGAAGAAGCTGATCATTTATGGGGTTGTCTCAGAAACCAAAACACAAGGAGATTGTCAAATTCTGGCGACATTCACATGGTCCATAGTTCAACTCATGAGGAAATACATTCATGTTGAGGTACAATTCGAATACGAGTAAACGATTTGTCTTCTCGATGTTGTTGAAAACAAGTTTGAAGATTGTGTAAAGATTTGAATTTTGGATTATTGAAGTTGTTCTGAGCTTAATGTGAATATATATCTTCATTGTCAATTCCTTGCTTGTTTCCTTAACTCATCATTTTCTTTTTTTTGCCATTTTAACTCATCACACAAACTTAACAAATATTGAAGGTTAAACTCAAAACAGAGAAAAATGAAGAAACAGGACTCTAAACCTTTGCTCATCTTTCTTATTGCTTGAAGAGAAGATGATTACACAATGAGAGATTTATACTCAAACGTAGGTAGAAGAATCTAGAATAGGACTTAGGTGTCACTGATTCAAGATCCATAAGCGCAACAAGACGGATTTTGGATTGGATTTGATGAGTTGTGGTCGCCGTACTACTCACACTTTGAGCGTGTGTTCCTCTGTTAATTGTTGCAGGTTTTGAAGACTGAGGATGAGATAGTGTCTTATGTTTATATTCACTTGGGTTCTGTTCTTGCTAGTAAATATCACAAGAAATTAAAAAAAAAAGCATTTGTTCAATAACCCTTAAATGAAAGGGTTAAACTAGTCGAAAAACGATTTCTAATCATTTTGTTCACTTAAACAAAATAATGACTTATCAAGGCTTTTGGTGCAGAAATTTACACTAAAATAGTGTTTTAGAATCCCATTAGAGTTGTCTAAATTGCTATAAAATCTTATAACGTCTTTATAAATGTGGTTGCAAGCCAACTAAAAGTCTAAAATTACCTACTGGACCCCATTAAACTTCCATACCACTATATGTATGTGTGTGTCTTTGTAAGAAAAGAATCCAATATTATCAATGTAGACAATTAAAGAATTCTCTCTACTCTCTCTAAACGTTTATGTCTTTGTTAGAATGAGAAACTAAACTAAGAACAAGAAAAGAGAGTAAGAGGGAGTAAAATTTTCTCTTTGTGCTTATGTTTAAACAGAGAATTAAACATAACATATAGAGAGACTAAGAGATAGAGGGAGCTGATCTTAAAATGGTGGTGAAAGTCAGAAATGCAACAGACCCCCATGTTATGTGATCTATTCTTGTCTTTGACCCATACATATTCATTTTAGTAATCTTTATGCTTTTTTACATTTTTGTTTGGCTAAAAATCTATAATCTCCTTTTCTTATTAAATTTTTTTTTTGTAATATCCATTAACATATCAATTTTTTCTTTTTTTAGACATATACTGTTTTAATTTTACATTCTTTTCAAAATTATTTTTAAATATATTTTTTCTAAAAGTCATGAATCAAGATAAACATAACAACTAATCAATCTCTACACTATATATTATCTATATTAAAAAAAAAGTTTTGATGATAGAACTAAAAAAAAGATAAACTGCGAATATTTTAATTTGAAAGATGAAATATGAAACATTTTAGGTTTAAAAATTATATATATATATCAGAAAATTTATTTAGTTTTATTTTTAGTTCAAATTTTTAAAATTTTTATAACTCCTATAAACAAAATTCGTGGCTCTGCTCCGCCACTGTTTATAAGCTGACATAAACGCAAGAATAATCTAAAGGAGAACAGCTAGAAAGTCTTCCGCAAAATCTAAAGGTTCATTTAAACCAAAAATGACTATGACGAACAAAAAATGAACGAAAACAGGTACATAAGTTAACCACCTAACCACCATTTTTTCTATTTAATTGTGACATCTTAGATGATGAACATAGTTATTAGCACCACGACTTACCCTATTTCTTGTTTTATGCCTAAAAGGTTAGAAACATCATATGTGTTACGGTTATTGTGTGGGTTCGGTGTTAACATTTATGAAGTATTTCGGCATTCCACCATGAGAAAACAACTTTGATTTTAGCTGCACTATAAATCTAATTCATTCCTCAGAATTGATTAGAATGATTGAATATGTAGTGAGTTTAATCGTCTCGAGGAGGCTTTGACATTTCTTCCACATTTCCCTATTCGAATGGATTGGATAGTCTATTCCAAGCTATTTGATAAAAGAGAAGAGATACACTATGGTCCATTAGAGGAGATGCTTTCTTTCTCCGCATACCATGTTGTTATCACTGAATCCGTTAAGTAGTATCAAAAAGACATCGTAACTGTATAAAAAAATATCAAATGGGACGGAGGTTGGGCATGAAGGTTATGTTTATTGTCTCCTTATATAACTATCATATACCTTACGGTACACATTTTGTTTACGCATGCCCAAACCACAACATCTATTGTCCAATTTTGTAGTGTTAAACATGGTTAAGAACATGTGGAATCACTAGATGATTTTTAAAATATGATGTTATTCAATTGATGATTTTTAACGTCTTTCTAAATATATTGTTATATTGAACACTGAATTTACTTAAAATCAATTAATCAAAACAACTTAAAAGTTCTTATAGCCGAAAGGATGACAAATCTTAATATATCTCAAATTTAAAATAATCTATACTATTAATTGGGAATCACTAAAAAATAAATAACCTTATAAAGTGTAGAATATTACGTTACTCTATAAAATAAATAAATAATTAATCAATTAAAACTAATGTTCAAGAAAGCGCTAGGCGCTAAACAGACGGTGACCTAGTTATGAGTTAAAATTAAAACAGAGACTTATGTCATGCAAATTATTAAAGGATGAAACGAGTTATCACATTTTTATTTATACGACGTATTATTATTGGTCCAAAATATCCAATAATCACGATTTACAATTATATTTTATAGGGAAAATTCCCAAAAAAAACCCCAACTATTTAATATTTGCCAGAAAAAAACCTAAACTTTTTTCGATGCCGGAAAAAAACCTCAACTAATATACCGCTGACAAAAAAAACACGAACTATTTTGTTTTTCCAATTTCCTCACGTCTCCGTTACAGACGTTAACGCCGTCGTTGACGCCGTTACTATTTTTTGGAAAAATTCTTGAAAAAAACCCAAGTTATTTAAGTTTGCCAGAAAACTACCCGAATTATTTGTTCGTTGCCAGAAAAATACATAGATCAACATTTTTCTTTTCTTTTTGTCTTCCATCAACAATGTAAGATGGTGAGAGCTAATAACTTTTATGTGTTCTCTTGAACCTCATAAAAGTTTTCAGTTTTCACTATTACTTAGGATAATTAAATTTAAGAACAAAAATATACAAATAGATTAGTCGATTTCAAATTTCTCAATTAGATTTGTTTTTGGATCTATTCAGACTTTACAAATTTTGGGACATCATCAACAATGGAACTCTAAATTTCATAAAGCCCCAAAAACCTTGGTAGATCTTCAAAAATTCTCTACATAAATCGCAAAAAAAAAATACTCCAATCAAGCAAAATCCACCAAAATTGAAGGTAAAGCTAGCTTAATCAAACCTACTCAACGCTAAAAAAACGACTAATCTAATTGTGTTTTTTTTGTTTTAGTTAAAAAGTTGGGGAATCAACTAATGTAATTGTGAGTTTTGTTCTAATTGGAAAATTGAAAAATCGATTAATTTAATAGTAGTGAGAATTTGTATGAGGTTCAAGAGAACACATAAAGTTATGAGGTCTAACCACCTTACATTGTTAATGAAATAAAAGAAAAAGAGAAAAATGTTGATCTGTGTATTTTTCTGGCAACAAAAAAATAATTCAGGTATTTTGCTGGCAAAATTAAATAACTTAAGTTTTTTTAAGGAATTTTTCTAAAAATAGTAACGGCGTCAACGACGGCGTTAACGGCCGTAACGGAGACGAGAGGAAATTGGAAGAAAAAAATAGTTCGTGTTTTTTTGGTCAGCGGTAAATTAGTTGGGGGTTTTTTTCCGGCATCGAAAAAAGTACAGGTTTTTTTCTGGCAAATATTAAATAGTTGGGGTTTTTTTTGGGAATTTTCCCATATTTTATATGATAAAATTTATCTAGCACTATGACGTCATCTAGTAGACCAATACGATATGAAAACCGAGATTCGTTTTTTCTTCCGGCCAATAAAAATACCAAATGATGATTGTTTTCTATTCAATCAAATATTTTAAAATGATTAATTTTTGGTCACCAAATTTTAAGAAGATTAACCTTTTTCATTAATATTTTGTTTTTGTTATTCAAAAGTAAAAATAATCATCACTCCAAAAATTCTATCAGACTAAATTGCATGATAAATAAATTTTGCATTGAAATTTGAAAACGACATCCAATTCAAAAAAATAAAATTTCTAAAACGACAATTATTAAAATACGGAGGGAGTATATTTTAGTTCAAAATAATTAGATGGTTCCAAAGCTAAAATAATATATGACTCAATTAAGCTTAATTAGACCGAGGACGACCGACTCAATTGACACATCTATCTCTCCCTCTCACAAAACTTGTGGATCATATGACCAACATATCATGTGAACAATATTTAGCTAGATCATATCATTGAGTGTTCATTTTCATGTGCCTTGAAGTTTCTTATTTCTTCTTAACTCCTATTATATATATAATAGATTTGTTGTCTTCTTCACCAATTGTAGAGCTTGCATTGGTTCTGTTAGATGCATCTAAGGTGGAGTAAATGGTAAGATTTTGTCCTCACACTGTGTTTGTTTTTGTCATCAATAAAGGCTAATTGTCCTCACACTGTTGGATCTTAGTGTTGTGTAGTGTTATTCTCCATTTTCTTGTCCTTTTATACAGTCGGGGACCTATCTCCATGCCTTCTTCCATTCCTAGAGCTTCTTGAAATACTATTAAATACATAGTCGTTATATATATATATATATATATATATATATATAATTTGGGAACTGCTACTGAAAATAAGATGGGTATGAATTGATAGTTTTAGAAATATGAATCTGAAATCTGTTTTTGTAATGAAATGCAACTATTTGGTAATATATCAACAACTAAACACATTTTTTTGCTGATATAAATTGGTAACTGCTATTGAAATTAGATTGTACAAGGATTGATGGTTTAACACACATCATATTTGAATCCCATTCAAGAAATTGGTATCGGCGTTATCATCACTCTGTATATGTATATATACTGAATTCATATTTTTAATTATAACGTTAATAATTTAAATAGAGAGAGGATTTGGTATGCAAAATTT